CTGCCCACAGCTCTGTCCGTGTCCTGCAGTCAAGCAGGTCTTCAAGGACATGGAGTTCCTGGGCTGGTACACAACGGGCGGCCCCCCGGACCAGTCTGACATCCACGTCCACAAGCAGGTAAGAGCTCGTGTGGGCCCCAGCCTGGTGCTTCCAGGCCATGAGCAACCCAGGCATCCGGGGCTCCTGGCCTCCCTTGTGCTGACCCTGCCTACTCTCCCCAGGTCTGTGAGATCATTGAGAGCCCCTTGTTCCTGAAGCTGAACCCCATGACCAAGCACACGGATGTGAGTGGTTCCCTCCTCCCTGCCCCCAGGAGAGGTCTTGCCCCTGCAAGGGAAAGACCCGGCCTGAGCTGGGTGCATCTCACGCTTGGTCTCCATCTACCCCACAGCTGCCTGTCAGTGTCTTCGAATCCGTCATAGATATCATCAACGGAGAGGTCGGTCCTCCCTAGCACCCTGCCCCCCGCCCCAGTCCGCAGTCAGGGTCCGGGTGTCCCTGATGCCCCCTTCTCTCTCCAGGCCACAATGCTGTTCGCAGAGCTGACCTACACACTGGCCACAGAAGAGGCAGAACGTATCGGCGTGGACCACGTTGCCCGCATGACAGCCACGGGCAGCGGGGAAAACTCAACTGGTGTGTGGGGGAGGCTGGACCCACATCCCTAAGGGTGCAGGGTAGGGAGACCCATGCTGGATGAGATCCACAGTGGTGGGGGGCAGAGACAGGGCCCCAGCCACCCCACCCTGACTCTTGGCTCCTCTCCACAGTGGCCGAACACTTGATTGCCCAGCACAGTGCCATCAAGATGCTGCACAGTCGTGTGCGCCTCATCCTTGAGTATGTCAAGGCTTCAGAGGCAAGTGAGGCCCTGGCACCACCCCCACCCACACCCTTGCCCCTGCCCCCCCTCTGACCACTCCCTGCCCCCCCAGGTGAGGTACCCTTCAACCATGAGATCCTGCGCGAGGCCTACGCTCTGTGTCACTGCCTGCCCGTGCTCAGCACTGACAAGTTCAAGACTGACTTCTACGACGTGAGTGTTTGTGGGGGATGGAAAGGGGAATTGTGGGGGGGGGGCACGTCTTTTTCCATGCAGGAATGTCATTAACCCCCACCCCCCCCACAGCAATGCAATGATGTGGGGCTTATGGCCTACCTCGGCACCATCACGAAGACCTGCAACACCATGAACCAGTTTGTCAACAAATTCAATGTCCTCTACGACCGTCAGGGAATTGGGCGCCGCATGCGCGGCCTCTTCTTCTGACCAACTCCTGCACCCCCCTCAATAAATCCCCGCTGGAGACCCATGCCTCTGCTCATTGCTGGGGGGGCAGAGAAGGGATCTTGATCCCTGGGAGCTGCTGCATGGAGGGGTAGGTTCCTGCCCCCAGACACAGGTGTCGTGTCCCCAACAGGCAGCGGTTACAGCAAAAACAGGTTTATTAGAAAGCGACTCAGGAAAAATGCAGTAAAATAACAGGGAGCCCCCAGGCAGAGCTGCGGGGCTGCTGTCCTCGGGTGGGGCTCAGATGAAGGTGATGCGAGTGCGGGCAGCGTTCACCTGCCACACATTGAGCTCCTCGTACTCGTCCAGTGCAGCCTGGAACTGAGCAGGGGTGAAGCCGCGGGACACACAGCGCGTCTCGGCCTCTGCGTAGCGCACAGTCCGGCCTGCACCCGCCAGTTCCCGCACTGTTGCAAAGATGGCATCTGCTGCCCGCTGCGGCCTGGGGGGCAAGGTAGGTGTCAGACATCAGGGAGACAGGGTCGGGGGCCTCCCAGCCCACTCAGGCCCCCTGCACTCACTTGGCTTGCTGCCCACGGTCGCCCAACAGCGAGTCCTTGGACATCTCCATAAGCCGCATGGCCTCGTTCACGTCCTCCTTCTCCACCACGTCCACCAGCCGCAGCCGGGCCTGGGGGCAGCGAGGGGGGGTTCGTCAGCACCCAGTCCTATCCCATGACCCCCAGTGCCTGGGGCCAGTGCATGCTGCCTGGGCTGGGCTGGAGACGTGGGTTGGGTCCAGTAGTGCGGCCGCGGGGGCTCGGGAAGTGCTGCCCGGCAGTAGATGGCTGCACACACTACCTGCACGAACAGCACTTTGGAGCCACCGCAGCTCAAGGGGGACCCAGATGTGTGTGAGCATGTGCCCTAGGGACAGGATCTGCTCTGCGTACATATGCTCATGTTGGGGGTCATCCCAGTTGTGCCTGGCCCCCATTGCCAGGGGCTCCCCAGAGCTGCAAGCCCCCACACTGCAGTAGCGCCAGCGCCAGCTACCTGCACTGCAAGCACTTTAGCCCTGGGATGCCGTGAGAGGCTGGGCCGAGCTAAGCTGGGCTCCCTGCCCCCCCCCCCCGTGCACCCCGGCTCACCAGGGCGGTGGCAAGACGCAGGATGGCCAGCAGGGTGCGGGCCGAGGTGAAGGTGGCGTCTGGGCTGGCCCAAGCCTCTTTCCGCATCTCCACGTAGGCAGCTGTGATGTAGTCAGCCAGTGCCTCGGGCACAGCCGGCTGCCGCCGCTTGCACATGCTGATGTAGCGCCTGCAGGGGCATGGGAGGGGTGGAAGGTTACCTAGGGAAGGGGAGCTCCACAGAAGCCCAGGCATCCAGGCCCCCAGAGACAAGACCAGGCTGGGATGGGACATTTCTCACCTCATCAGCTTCATGTCGAGCGGCTGGTAGGTGCAAGGTGGCTGCCGGCTATGCTGGTGCACGTAAGTGATGTGCTGGGCCAGGCTAAAAAGACATGAGTCAAGACACCCACCAAGCCCCGCTCCCACCCCACCCCCAGCTCTCTTGACCCTTACCGAAGGTCATTGTCACGGTGGGGTCGGTCCTGCAGCAGCCAGAGCAGGTCGAAGCGGGAAAGCAGAGCGGGCGGCAGCGCCAAATTGTGCTGCAGGCTGCGGCGCGTGTCATAGCGCCCATAGGCCGGGTTGGCAGCGGCCAGCACGGCACAGCGGGCATTGAGCGTGGCCTGGACACCTGCCTTGGCCACCGAGATGCTCTGCTGCTCCATGGCCTCATGCAGTGCCGTGCGGTCGCTCTCCAGCATCTTGTCAAACTCGTCGATGCAGCACACGCCACGGTCAGCCAGCACCAGTGCGCCCCCCTCCAACGCCAGCTCCCCTGACACCGGGTCCCGCAGCACTGCCGCCGTCAGCCCCACGCCCGATGACCCACGTCCCGTCGTGTACTGGCCTGGGGGGGGGGTACAGGGTGTGACACGGGCTGGACACAGGAGGGCTGGATGCTGCCAGGCCCAGGGGCCTGCTGTGACAAAGCCACATCCCCTGCCCTCTCCAGGGGCTGCATCCCCCTGGCATCACAGCCAGGCTCCCACACAGCCCAGGGGGGAGGAGGACAGGGTGCCCATACATGCGGGCAATACTCACTGCGTGGTGCCAGGCGGTCAATATAAGACAGCAGCTGGGACTTAGCCACACCAGGGTCACCCATCAGGCAGATATTGATGTTCCCTGGGAGGGGGCGGCTAAGTCAGAGATGTCCCACGAGAGGCACTGTGGGGGCCAGCAAGCAGCTCCATGCCCCTCACATGCCTGAGCACCCCCGAGCGCCAAGGCTCTGCCCCCAGCCCCGTCCCATGCCTCACCGCGGATCTTCATGCCACGGGGGCTGCGCTCCACGCCCCCCACCAGCAGCAGCAACAGGGCCTTCTTCACATCCTCATGACCATAGATCTCGGGGGCGATAGAGGCTGCCAGCTTCTCATAGAAATCCTCCTCTGGGGAAGTGGTGAAGGAGTGGGGAGTTGATCAGTGCTGGGAGAGGGGAGTGCACGACTCCCCCAACCCAGCACCTTATGGGGTTTCAACCACCCCTTCCCACAAAAGGGGGTCAGGGCATTGTGCCCCTGCCCCCCCCCACCCCAGCAGCGCCCCTACTGGTGGGGTTGGAGCTCACCAGTGATCTGCCTCAGCTCATCCTCACTCAGCTCTGCGGGCGCCACCTCGTCCTCCTCGCTCTTGTTCATCTTGGCAATGTGGTGCGCCTCCAGGTACGTCTCTGACAGCAGCCCCTGTGGTGCAGCACGATAGAAGGCATCAGGCACCGTGGGACCCCCCCCGGCAACCAAAGAGGCAGGCACGGACCCCCAGACCCGACCCAGCCTGTGGGGCCTCACCTGGGCAATCTGCCGGAAGCCAGACCGCAGCAGGGGCAGGAAGATGCCGGTGACACTGATGTGGTCGCCAGGCTGCACCAGCCGCGTGTTCTCACCCTGCACAGCCACGCTGATGGAGCGCGGGAGGTGCCCCACTGGCACCTGGTCACTCTGCCCACGGTGGAGAAGCCAAGGTCAGCACGGGGGGGGGGGGGAAGTGGGGGGGGGGGGGGGGGGGGGGGGGCCAGCCCCCACCCCCTGCCTCACAGACACCTAAGGGGGTCCCAGCTCCACTCACATGCTCCTGCATCTTGAGCTCCTGGTACTTGATGAACTTAGAGCCACGGCTCTGCAGGTACAGACGCCCGCCCGAGCGGTTCGTCTGGCACTCACGGCTGGGGCACATGATCAGCGGCATGAAGGTTGGAGCCTGGATCTGGGGGAGGAGAAGACAGCGGGTCAGTGGGAGGGGCAGATCCAGCCTAGGGCAGGCAGTGAGACCTGCCATGACCCATGAGGGCCCAGCTGGCCCATTCACAGTTTCCCATAGAGGCACTCACGGGCTGGTAGGTCTCGGCCCCACACTGGTCACAGCTGTACGTGGCCACAACCATCATGGGCTTGACCTCGGCTACACGGGTGACGATGCCACGCACGGTCACCAGCTTCCCGATGCTGTCGGCCTTCACGTCCCGGATCACGCGTGGCTTTGCGCTCGACGGGGCCTTGAAGTACAGCTCACTGCAGGGGCAGACGCCATCAGAGCGGGCAGGGGAGAGAGCGCGGAGGAGCAGAGGGCAGGGGCGGGAGCAGGGGGCTGGGCGGGCGGTGCACGCAGGGACACTCACAAACGTCGCAGCAGCTCGGGCGGGTAGTGGTTCTGGGGGCCATGGGTCTCACCGGCGTCACGGCCACGCTGCTCCAGCATCAGCCGGTGCTCGAGATAGACGTCCAACACATCTTTATGCGTCAGCTGTGGGGACACGGCACCGTCAGTGCAGGGCCGGGGCCCCCTGGCAGCGCCTGCTGCCCCCGCACTGCCCGGGCCTCACCTCGCGCTCCTTGTAGTCAGGCAGCAACTCGTGGACGGCATCGGCAAAGAGGCGGGCGTAGCGCCGCGAGTTCTCGCAAGCGGCCTCGGCCAGCTCGGGCTCGTCCTCGGCCACGTGGTCCAGGTCCACATACAGCGCCACCTGCTCGCGCTGCGCCAGCGCCACCTGCAGGGGGGAGGAGTCAGCAAGGCGGGGGCAACCC